GGGGACGGGAGGCTTCTGACGGAGGCCGAGGTTTGGGGTTCCTGAGGGTAAGCGAGCACAGAGGCGACACATAGCTCCCATGATGACTGTTAAGCAGAGTTCCGGGGACAGCCTAAGGAGGGCGTCAAGGTCTACAGGGAGTTCCCAGCTCTGGCGGTTTAACAAAAATGATGGGTTTCCTCTGGTTCGGTTAACTCACACTCAGTCGTAGGCACACACTCATGAAATCCAGTCCCACCGGTGCTTCTGGTGGGGGTCTTATGTCCCACGCATCCTTTCACAGCAGTGAGGGGTTGCACCCCGCAGCCCACTCTCATGCTTCACCTTCCGGCAAACCCCCGGGGTTAATACTCCCCTCCCCCAGAGCAGGGGTGTCGCCCTGCTTTGTGCGCCCAGGCGCGCTGGAGGCGAGAGCTAGGGGACAGCTGAGGTGAGGAGGGTGACGGGGGTGGCGGGGACCAGGCACAAAGAGGGGGAGGGGGCTCTGGCTGCAGCTGTCCCGCGAGGGGCCGGGACAAAGGGCCTGCTGGCGACCAGGCCGAGCCGTTTTCATGCTTGTTGGGATTAGGCGCGGGGAAAGGCGCTCGGGACGGTGATGATCTGCAGCCGGGTGCAGCTCGGCGCGTGGGGCGGTCGGCGCCACCACCCCTGGCTTTGTGCGCTGCGCCGCGAGAGCTCTGGGAGGCAGCCCCTTTGTCTGCGCCCCGCCGGGGGACCCCCCGAACGTCAGCTGAACACACCACCGCCATGCCGGAGCCCTAGCTGGTCCCCGATGACTGAACAGGTCCACAGGGATTCAGCCCCTCCCCAGGCTCTAACATGCCAGACCTCAATACAATGAACCCTCCATTTCTCCCGCGCCACTCTGGTCCCATACGCCTGCCAGTTGCTCAACCCAAGGAATCTCGCCTCAAATTTTTGGATGATGAAACATAGTTTAGGAGGTGGACTAGCTCTAAGGCTGGGGAGTTGGTGGGGGAGGAGGAGGGTTGGGGAGGAGCGGGATTGAGGAGGTACGATGATCTGGGAAGTTCTGGGATAGGGCAAAATCTAGCTGGAGGATCCCTCAGGCCAGAGCAAATTGCAGTCTTATTTCTGAGGGGTGGGTGGGAGCATGCACAGAGGTCTGTGTCTGGGAATGAGCGATGGTGCAGGTGTGTTCATACACGGATGTGGGGGCTTGTCTGCCAACACCTGGTCGGTATGGAGATGTATGCCAGCATGTATGTGAACTTTGGCTCACGTCCCAGAGCATCTCCAATGTCATTCTGCCCTGTCTCACCAGAAGCATCCAGGAGACTCACCGGGCTGGTTGTGACGACCTGCACCAATGCAGTGTTGTTTTGTTTTGTTTTATTGACAAGATCTGGCCTGGCACTTGCTACATAACTGAGGATAACCTTTGAATTTCTGATCCTCCTGCCTTTACCTCCTGCCTAGCATTTCCCCCACTACACCTGGTTTTATGAGGCTCTCAGAATCCAACCTAGGGCTTCGTGCAAGCTAGACAAGTACTCTACCAACTGAGCTACACCCCCAGCCCAGCAATGCTCCCCCTCCCAAATTAATTTTATTTTATGAGTGTTGTGCCTGCTCATATGTTCCAGTACTGTGGAAGCCAGAAGAGGGTATTGCATCCCCCTGGAACTGTAATTACAGGCAGCTGTGGGCCGCCATGAGCGTGCTGGAAACCAAACCCCGGTCCTCTGCAAGAGTAGCCAGTGCTCTTCACTGCTAAGCCACTTCTCCAGCCCCAGCAATGCTTTTTAATACACAGAACAACTAACTGCTCAGCTACAACCCCTGCCTCTGGTGGCTGTCATCCTCTCCTCATCAAATAATAACAGCTAGGGTGTCTGGGCTGCTTCCAAGTAATCAGGCTTAGATCTAAACCTTCCATATGTAATTTACCATCTAAGTTGGGCGGTGGTGGCACACGCCTTTAATCCCAGCACTGGGGAGGCAGAGGAAGGCAGATCTCTGTGAGTTCGAGGCCAGCCTGGTCTACAGAGCGAGATCCAGGACAGGCACCAAAACTACACAGAGAAACCCTGTCTTGAAAAAAAATTTTTTTTTACTCATCTGACTTTTTCACGGCCCTGTAAGGACAGCACTGCTGTTATCCATCCCTGTTTTGCAGGTGAACAATGTGGCCAGTTCCAGGACACATGTGTCCACTGTGCACTGGAAACCACTGCCCTCTGGCGCCGCCCACCTGCTCTTCTACTGATTTCTAGGCTCCTCTTCCTCCAAGAAGGAGCACCAGGCATTGCTCCTCTCTGTTCCTATCACCTTACAGGCACCTGGTATGAGGTACCAACACTGGATTTGTGTGAAGTCTAGTAGACAGATCACAGGCTGCCATCAGGGGACAGCCCCTCTCCTCAGAGGTAGCCACTATCCAGTGCTCTCAAGGTTTCAAGCCCTAGGCTGTGGAGACCACTTAACTTACTTTGAAGCCTCTGACCCTCCCAACTCTGCATTCTTCTCTTCATTCCCAGATCATTTCCTGCTCCTCAGTTTTTAACCATGCCCCCTCTGGTCATTTTTTTGGGGCTGACCTAGTTGAGGTCTGTCTTGGTTAGCTTCTTTTTTTTTTAATAATTTATTTTTATTTTGTGTGCATTGGTGTTTTGCCTGCATGTGTGCCTGTGTGAAGGTATCAGATCTTGGAGTTACAGACAGTTGTAAGCTGCCAGGTGGGTGCTGGGAATTGAACCCAGGTCCTTTGGAAGAGCAGTCAGTGCTCTTAACCACTGAGCCATCTCTCCAGCCCCCTGGTTAGCTTCTTTTGTCAGCTTGCATAAACCTAAATGTATCTGGGAAGAGGGAATCTGAATTGGGAAAAGGCCTCCACAAGATTGGCCTGTAGGCAAGTCTTGATTAATGATTGATGTGGGAGGGGCCCTGCCCATTTTTAGGTAGTTCCAGCCCTGGGCAAATGGTCTTAGATGGTATAAGAAAGTAGGCTAAGCAAGCCATGGGGAGCAAGCCAGGTAAACAGCACCCCTTCGTGACCTTTACATCAGCTCCTGCCTCCAGGTTCCTGCCCTACTTGAGTTCCTACCTCGACTTCCCTGAATGACGGACTCTGATCAGGACATGTAAGCCAAATAAACCCTTTCCTTCGCAATATGATTTGTCTTGGTGTTTTGTCACAGCAGTAGAACTCCTAACTAAGACAGAGACCCTGGTGAGCAAGATCTGAATGAACAGAACCCTCCTCTTTCTCTCTATGGAGGGCTAACTACCTCTTGGCACTTCCTTCATGCTTCAGGTCTGGGACGGCAGAGCCTGTTATTGGTGTCAATATCACCCCGTGTTCTTCCTAAGCAAGACCAAGTTTTGTTTTGTTTTTCGTTTTTGTTTTTGTTTTTGGTTTGTTTGTTTGTTTGAGACATGGTTTCTCTGTGTAGCCTTGGCTGTCCTGGAACTTGATCTGTAGACCAGGCTAACCTCGAACTCAGAGATCCGGCTGTTTCTGACTCCCAAGTGCTGGAATTAAAGTTGTGTGCTACCACCACCCGGCTCCAAGTTCTTCATGTACCATCCAAAACCGGGGTTGGGTATCCATGCTGTATTCATGGACTGTCACTCTTCAGGAGGGAAGAAGGAGGCAATGACTTCTGCTCGAACTTTTTCAAGTTCGAGAGTCTCTCCTCATTCCCTTCCATCCCCAGGGACTAAAAAACCCCCACCCCAACAATGAACACAAGCTTCCAGACTAAAAGTCTCAGGCTGAGGGCTGGAGAGACGGTTCAACGGTTAAGAGCACTGGCTGCTCTTCCAGAGGTCCTGAGTTCAATTCCCAGTACCCACATGGTGGCTCACAACCATCTATAATGAGATCTGGTGCCCTCTTCTGGCAAGCAGGCATAACACTCTATACGTAATAAATAAATCTTAAAAAACAAAACCAAACAAACAAACAAAACCTAGCAATTAAAAAAAAAAAAGTCTCAGGCTGAGACCTGCTCAGAGTATTGGTGTCCCCTTCCCAGTCTCAGAGCGGCCTCTACATTAGGTTCCCAAACAAAAGCTTTGTTCATCTTTGAAGGCCAGAGCTGTGCAAGGGCAGGGTTAGGGTGGAGCCCTGGAGGTCCCATGCAGAGAGTTTGATCTTTTTTTTTTTTTTTTTTTTGGTTTTTTGAGACAGGGTTTCTGTGTGTAGTTTTGATGCCTTTCCTGGATCTTGCTCTGTAGACCAGGTTGGCCTTGAACTCACAGAGATCCGCCTGGCTCTGCCTCCCTAGTGCTGGGATTAAAGGCATGGGCCACCACCGCCCAGCATGAGTTTGATCTTAATGCCTACAGAACATCTGAAGGTCCGTGTGCTCAAGCTTTATAACTGCCACAGGTGAGGAAACGAAGTCTGGCCCATGTGAGTTGCAGCTGTAGCCTCAGCCCCTCCCACATCGGTTTCCCACCTAATCGGGAACTACAATTCCAGATCTGGCTGGCTCAGCCACTGGTGTCCCGCCTCCTGGCTCCAAACCCTGCTGTGTTGGTTGTGGCTCTGTCCAGTCCCCTTTTCAAACCTACCTCCACCCCAACAACTGGGCCTATCCCTAGACCCCAAATGACTAATAAGGGGATCAAACTCGTGTCATTAGGCTTGGCTCCAAGTAGGCCTACCCACACTGAGCCATCTCACAGGCCCCGAGAACCCTTCATGGAAAGTAATATTAAGCCACTTTATTTTGAAACAGAATCTCTGACAGTCCAAGCTGGCTTCCAACTCCAGGCTGGTCTTAAATTTCTGATTCTCCTGCCCCAACCTCCCAAGCTGGGATTATAGGGATGTCCCAACCACAACAGGTAGACCTCTACTTTGGTTTGGTTTGGGGTGGGTGTGTTTGTGTACGTTTCTCTGAGACAGGGTCTCACTTGTGAAGCCCTGGCTGTCTTGGAACTTGCTGTATAGACCAGGCTGGGCTCTACCTCACAGACAGTGTGAAAGAAGCCAACAGGCAACAGAACAAAAACACATCCTCAAAAAATTTAATTTTCTGTCTTAGTTTATTTATCCAGGATTGGTCCAAAGGCCAGGTTCATGTTCAACATGCAAGAACAATAGAAAGTCCCCAGGGTCCACATTTCACCCGCCCACCCATCAAGGATGGAACTCTTTGGCGATAGGGTGGAAGGGCCCCCAGTTTGCAGGTGGGTAGACTGAGGCCAGAGGCACCATCGGTGCCTTCCCTGTCACCTGCCACCGTTCCTTCTCCACGTCATTGCTCACCCACTAGGATCTTGCACTCTCTTGGCACCCAGAACCAACACAAAAGGCTGCACTACCTTCATTATTGGTCGGCCCCATAGGCATTCATCTCCAAGGCTTGAAGCCTCTGCTGGGGCCTGTCATCCCTGTTCAGAGGAGTCATGCACAAAAAGAAAAGTATAGTCAACCATCCTAAGAGCTTCAGGAGGCTGCACTGACCCTGCCCCCTGCCCGCTTGGGAAGCTGAGCTCTGGCTCCTCTGGACAGTTAGATTTCAGGAAAAATGAACCAAACCAATTGGACATTCATTGTTGCTAAAGCAAAGGAGGCAGCAAGGGGGAGGTGAAGAGAAGGGAGGTTTCCTCTCACGCCCTGACAGCCTGGGTACATCTGGTCTATGACCTGCATGCTTAGATGCACACAGTCCCCTTCAGCAGAAACTTAAATTAACATGGTGTTCAGGCTCTCCTCAGCGTGGCAATATGGTGTTTTAAAATTCTCTTCTCCTGTTCTTCAGAGCTCTAACATCATCGGTCTCTCCCATCCTCACCTCCCCTGGAGCCAAAGACAGGGCTCAAGAGGACAGTTTCTTTTTCTTTCTTTCTTTCTTTCTTTCTTTCTTTCTTTCTTTCTTTCTTTCTTTCTTTCTTTCTTTCTTTCTTTCTTTCTTTTTTATTATTATTATTATTATTATTATTTTTGAGACAGGGTTTCCTGTACAGCCCTGGCTGTCCTGAAACTCACTCTGTAGTCCAGGTTGGCTTGGAACTCAAGAGATCTGCCTGTTTCTGCCTCCCGAGTGCTGGAATTACAGACGTGCGCCACCACCGCCCCTTGAAGAGAGTTTATGTCTTTCTTTATCCCTTCCCCCACCCCTGTTACTGCCTCCACCATCATGCCAGTTCCCTCCCTGAGACCCAGGCTCCACCAACTGCCCTGACCAAACAGCAGCAAATGTGCCAAGGAAGGCTAGAGCAACCAATAAGCCTCTTAACGGGCTGGAGGTGCAGCTCGGTGGTAAGACATTTGCCTAGCATGCACAAGGCTTTGGACTCAATCTCCTGTACTGTAATAAGCAAAACAAATGAAAAGCGACCACCCCAAATAAAAAAAAAAAAAAAGCTCTTACCAAAAAGCCAACATTAGAGACAGCAGTGTTAGCAGACAGAGCAAGGTCTGGTTAAATGATGGGAAAGGGCAGGAGGTAGCCTGGGAAACTCCAGGAGAATGGATCAACCACCACCCTCCGATATATGCCAGCAAGACAGGCTTCTTTCTCCAGGAAGCTGAGACTCGGTAGAGTACAAGGCTGGGGTGGACTCTGGGAACACAGGGGATGGGTGGGTGCCTTGCAGGTGCAACGGAACATACATTTGTACGCACCTGCTCCTAAGTCTCTCTGCAAATACACATGTTCCTAACACACGCTTCTTATGCCAGCACTGGCACATGTAAGTCTCAGCACACCCAACATAAGCCTGTACATTTAACTGATACATATGCATACAAGTCTTTTGCATGTACATCTTATTCAGGAATAGATACACATTCCTAGGCACCTAGCCACACATGCATACATAAACACACATGCTACACATAATACATACAACTTCATCCACACATGCCTGTACATACCTGCCTACATGTGAGCGCATACAGACTCACTCATGTTTACTTGCGCTCAGGACAACTAATACTCACGTACTTACTTGTGCATAACCACACACAGACGTGCAAATACACACACTTGTGCGTGGCCTTAGCAATGGTCCTGGTGCCGGCAAGGTGCTTCCCTCTGTTGGAGACAGCGGATAAGTTCCTTTCGGTTGTCTAGGATGGTGTCAAAGCTCTCTTGCAGTCGGGCCTGCTGGTCAACCAACTGGTGCTGGAGAGCCCGGATCCACTGGAGCAGTGCCAAGCGCCGGTACATCACCAAGTGCACGTGGTGTTTCTCCTTCTCCTGCTCTTTGTAGCGCTCCTGAGCCTGCAGCTGCTGCACAGCCTGGGCCACGGAGGGCAGAAGGGGATCCAGAGGGCTTGGGCCTTGAGGAGTCCCACAGACAGGCTCTGGACTGCTGCTAAGGCTGTCGGTGCTCAAGGAACTGCTGGCATAGCCGATGTCCTCCAGAGGAGAACAGACACTGCTGGCAGCACTCAGCTTCTCAGGCTCAGCCCCAGGGATCTCTGCACCCTCCGGGGGACTGCGGACTCCCGCCTCCAGGAGCCCAGTGGCTTGGAAGACCTGGTTGTCAGAGGGTGACTCAGAGGAACTCCTCACCAGGGTGGGTTCCACTTTGCCTGGCACACCATGCCAATTCTTATTGGCATCCTTAGCACTCTCCACAAAGTTGGAATTATTGTCTGGTTGGAGCTCGGGTTGACAGACTCCAGGAGGCAGGCCCCCCAGGAACTGGGCCCCCTCTGCTAGCCCTGGTTGGATGGCCGCGAACATCTGGTCTGTGAGGGGGAAGCAAAGAATGAGTCACACAGCAGGACAGGGTGGAGTGGCAACCTTGGCCCCAGGAACCTCTGCATGGCTTCCTCCCTTCTCTCTGATTAGTTGGTCCGTCTCCCTCACAGGGTTTTCCCTTTTCCCTTGAAAGCCAGCTGTCTCTTCATTCTACATACTTCCCCCCAGATCACTCCATTCTCTGTGGGAGCTTCCAGAACCATGTGTGGGTGACTCGCAGATATGTGTCCAGCCCAGATAGAACTGCTAGTCAACCTGGCAACGTACCAAAGGCTCTTCAAATTCTACACACCCAAACAGCCCTCCTCTGCAGGGTCCTCAGGCAAAAGAGCTCTGCTGTCTGCTAAGTCAATCTACCAGACGCTTAGGAGCAGCCTGGACTACTTACCCTCCTTCCTCACTGTCCACATTCTGACAATTCTTCCTCTTGGCTCTCACTTGGTTCTGGTCACTTTTTGTCCACATGACTGTCACAGACTTTTCCCTGACCTTCCTCCAATTAAAAATATAAATGTAGGGGCTGGAGAGATGGTTCAGCAGTTAAGAGTACTTCCAGAGGACCCAGGTTCAATTCCTAGAACCCAAGTTGGATGGTTCACAACTATCTGTAAAGCTAGCTCCATACCAACACCCTCTTCTGGCCTCTTTGGGTACACACACACACACACACACACACACACACACGCATGCAAATGTTTTTTTAATTTTTAAAATGATGACCAGTTAAATAACAACAAATAATGTTTTGTTTTGTTTTTGTTTTTGTTTTTTTTTTTTTTGGTTCTTTGAGACAGGGTTTCTCTGTGTAGTTTTGCACCTCTCTGGAACTCACTTGGTAGCCCAGGCTGGCCTCGAACTCACAGAGATCCGCCTGGCTCTGCCTCCCGAGTGCTGGGATGAAAGGCGTGCACCACCACCGCCCGGCTCAAATAATGTTTTTTAAAAAGAACATGTATCAGCCAGTCGGTGGTGGTTCACACCTTTAATCTCAGCACTTGGGAGGGAAGCAGAGGCAGGTGGATCTCTGTGAGTTCGAGGCCAGCCTGGTCTACAGAGTGAGTTCCAGGACAGCCAGGGCTATTCAGAGAAACAAACAAAAACAGAAACAAAACAAAACAACTCTTCTCTCTCTCTATGTGTGTGTGCAGACAGATAGACTATATATATATATATATATATATATATATATATATATATATATATATATATATAAATTTAGCTCATACTTGTAATCTCAGCACTCTGGAGGCTAAGGCAGGAGGGTTGCAAGTTCAAGGCCAGCCTGAGTTACATAGCAAAACTCTATCTTAGTAAAACAAAACTACCATTCTTGTAAAATGTATAAATGTGATTGGAAACGGCTTTGACTGCTGCCCCTAAAGAACTGTTAGACCTCTGCAGTCTTGCTTTGCCTGGCTCTGGTGCATTATTACCCCTCTGTCTCTCTCATCCCACCAAACCGCTCAGACACACCACTCTCCAACAGTATCCATTTGGCCCTCACTATTCCGCACCATCCCTCCCTCTAAGCGTCTCCTTTCCACCTAGAAAATTCTGTTTTTGTGTTTAAAGCCTACCTGTCTGAAGCCCACCCATTGTGGCCCTGCCCGGATACATGCCAACTACGCGGGAACTAGGACTCCTCTGGCTCCCCACTGCCCTCATGTACTCTGTCCTATCCAAGTGTGTCTTCCATCCCTGGCATACATTGTTGATGGCTAGCAAATGCCTAGTCAACCGGAGCTGTTTGTTTAAACGATCTCGTGATCGTTTCTTTTTTTTTTTTTTTTTTTTTTTTGGTTTTTCGAGACAGGGTTTCTCTGTGTAGCTTTGCGCCTCTCCTGGAACTCACTTGGTAGCCCAGACTGGCCTCGAACTCACAGAGATCCGCCTGGCTCTGCCTCCCGAGTGCTGGGATTAAAGGCGTGCGCCACCACCGCCCGGCTCGTGATCGTTTCTAATCTGGCTCCTTGGCCAAGACTAAGAACTCCTTTAGGCAAACTCTAACGCCATAGTTCTCAACCTGTGGGTCGCGACCCCTTTGGTTGAAAGACCCTTTCACAGGGAATGCCTAAGACAATTGCAAAACATAGATATTTACACTACTATTCATAACAGTAGCAAAATTACAGTTATGAAGTAGCAACGAAATAGTTTTACGGTTGGGGGGTCACCACAACATGAGGAACTGCCTTAAAGGGTCGCAGCATTAGGAAGTCTGAGAACCACGGCTCTAGTGTATACCCAGCAGTAGCAGGTGTCAGGATTTGCCTGCTGAGAGTGAATGAGAGCACTACCGTGGGATTCCTGTACTTAGGAAGACAAAGTGATGGCAGCCCTAGGCTACTGCAGAGGACCCAGGGCTTGAAGAGCTGGTCTCACTCTCCTCCTCCACACTAAGGAGCCCTTCCTCCTGAACCCGCAGTAATACTCCTCTCCTGCAAGCTAGTCCCTTCCCTCCCAGTGCTCCTGGGACATATTCACTGTACCCAGTTTGCTCCGTCCTGCTGAACCCTCCCCCACTCCCTTCCCTCATAATTGCATTTGGGTTTGAACTGCCAAGAGGTTCTACTGACCACATTGCCATGCCTGGAAGAACTGAGGACTCGTGAGTGAAGAATGCTAAGTCATGCAGCCTCTAGGAAGGTTCCCCTCTAGGCGGCAGGGACCCTCCCCACACCCAGCAATGGGCAGAAGTCCTGAGAGTGAGGTGGGGACAGATGTTCACCCCTTTGGCTTGTGAGAAAAGGCCTGAAGATCTTCCCTCCTCTCTATTTTAAAATTTTTTCCTAAAAAATCTGGCTAGGCTCACAAAGAACGCGGGGGTGAGGCGGAATGGGAGTGGAGCTAAGGATCCAGCTTCAGAAAGAGTCAGTGAAATGTGAGTACAGACATCCTCAGGATCTGGATTTCCCCCAAGCTAACCCATAGTATACGGGGGAGGGGAGACATCACTGTGACCCTAATCTCTGCAGAGGTAGCTCCCCTCCCCGCTCTCCCGCGACTGGGCCCCAGGCCCTCCATCAGGGCCCGGACTCACAGCCTAGAGGCGCCGGCTCCTGCAAAGCTGGCTACGGTTCCTCCGGGGCCTGGTAGCTGCGGGGTGGAGGGGGGGTGGGGGTCCTCCCTGCGCGTGCACGCGTCCTGGCGTGGCTGCGTAGTTCCCGCACCGCTCGCCCAGCACGGCCCGGACTGCACAGTCCAGCGGCGTCTGCGTGACTGGGCGGGGCGGCCTGACCCACGTGGGCCGGTTCGGTTCTCCGCGCAGGAACTGCCTCCTCCCGCAGCTTGACCCGATCCTTCCAGGTCCCGTGTCATCTCCTAACCACCGTGGCCGGGCGCCTCGGATCCATCCGTTCGCCTTGCTGCAGACATGGCGACGATGTGCCTCCTTCCTGGGTCTCCCAGTGGCCCGGGAAATCCGCCAGGCCGCGGTACACGTCCTGTCCCGCTGCAGTCCTTACCCTGCCCCGCGCTCTGCTCCTTTTGTGTTTTGCACACACCTTTCTGCTGAAAAATTCTTCCTTCGTCTCCACTTAACTCGTAGATCTTTGAGGACCCTTCTGAATCCTAGACCAGGTTACTATCCTCAGAGCCAAAAAAAAAAACAAAACATTTTTTCCTTCACAGCATTTCTCACTGTACTGTGCCTATTTGATTAGATTCATTTAGTGAAAGCTATGTGGGTTTTGTTGGTTTGCTTGTTTGTTGTTTTGAGTCAGAGTCTCATTATGTAGCCCTGGCTGTCCTGGAACTATGTAGACCAGGCTGGCTTCCAAGGTACAGAGAGATCTGCCTGCCTCTGCCTTCCAAGTACTGGGATTAATGGTGTTTGCCACCATGCCTGGCTATGATCTAACACAGCAGTTCTCAACTGGTGGGTCACGACCCCTTAAGGGATTGCCTAAAACCATCAGAAAACATAGATATTTACATTACAATTCATAATGGCAAAATTACAGTTCTGAAGTAGCCATGAAAATAGTGTTATGGTTGGGAGTCACCACAACATAAAGGGTTGGAGCGTTAAGAAGGTTGAGAATCACTGTTCTAAGAAGATAGAGTACCTGGAAAAGGGCTCAGGGTTGATACCTTATACCCAGGACCGGAGGGGGCGGGGCTTCTTCTTTAAAGGTCAAAGAACTTCATGGCACCTGCGAGGTGGATTTCTGTGCTTTTGTCCAGGTGAAGAGGAATGTAAGACACGTCCATCCAGGTTTACAGACTCCAGTGGATTCTTCCCAGAGTTCTGTTTACTAAGTTGCTCCTGCTGCTGCTGCTCCTCTGGGGGTGGGGGTGGGGGGGTAAGTTCTCTTTCTCTTTCCCTCCCTCCCTCGGTCCCTCCGTCCCTCCGTGTCTCTCTCTGTTCTCTCTGTCTCTGTCTCTGTCTCTCTGTGTGTGCAGGTACCCAGAGGTCAGAAGAGGACATCAGAAGCCCTAGAGCTGCTAGGAACCGAACTTTGCTCCTCCACAAGTGAGCAAACTCTCTTAACGGCTGCCGTCTCTCCACCCCCAAGGGACCCACTTCTCAACCAAATAACAGCAATTACTGACCCAATGATAATTTTGGTTCCAAGTTGACTTCACTTCACCATTCTGCAACCGACTGACCAAGTGACACAATCACACCAGCAAATACGGAGAGAAGGGACATGGGAGAGAAACAATGTGATTGTGGCAATCACCGTTTTAGGATGACAGCAAGTTAGAAGTGGTGGCCCACACCTGTGATCCCAGCACTTGGAAGGCAGAGGCAGAAGGATTTCTGTGAATTCAAAGCCAGCCTGGTCTATACAGTCAGTTCCAGCCAAGGCTACATAGACTCTGTATCAAAATCCAAACCAATCAGCCAAACAAACAAATTTAGGGCATTCCTTTTTTTTTTTTTTTTTTTTTTTGTTTTGTTTTTTTGGTTTTTTCGAGACAGGGTTTCTCTGTGTAGCTTTGCGCCTTTCCTGGAACTCACTTGGTAGCCCAGGCTGGCCTCGAACTCACAGAGATCCGCCTGGCTCTGCCTCCCGAGTGCTGGGATTAAAGGCGTGCGCCACCACCGCCCGGCTTAGGGCATTCCTTTTAACTGAAATACATATGTGACAACCTCAATCCCCTTTCTACATCAGGTGCTCAGAGGCCTAACTGGTCTAAGGTTGTGCAGTGTTCTACATATCATAGAGCTAGGAAGGGGATGTCTCTTGGTGGTAGATCACTTGCCTAGCACAAGGGCCTAGGTTCAGTGCATTACAGGAAAATAACAGCTGTTTAGAATAGCTCTTCCTGCAGGCTCTACCCCTCCCAACTCTAACCACATGGCTCAAACAAGAGCCTGATGCATCTAAAGATGGGAACCCTGCTCCTTCTTCCTTTAGAGATGAAATTAAAAGACAAAATAGTGTGGGCTGGAGAGATGGTTCAGCGGTTAAGAGCACTGACTGCTCTTACAGAGGACCTGCACCCACATGGCAGCTCACAACTGTCTATAATTTCAGTTCCAGGGGATCTGACACCCTCACACAGATGTACACGCAGGCAAAACACCAATGTACATGCTAACGTCCCAGTCTCTGCTTCCTGAGAATTCCTAGTTTTGATGCTTTCCCATGAAGTCCATATTTTGCCATGCCCAGCCTGAGTGGACTTTATCTCACTGATAATCAAAAGATTCCTGAATAAATATGCTAGCACAATGAGGTAACCCTAGGTTTGGATCGTGCACACAACATTGTAGTGATATATTGTGTAACCTAATAAACTTGCCTGGGGATTGGAGGACAGAGCCAGCCACTAGATTAAACACAGAGGTCAGACAGTGGTGGCACACACCCTTAATCCTATCACTTGGGAGGCAGAGATCCAACTGGATCTCTGAGTTCAAGGCCACACTGGAAACAGAGCCAGGCAGTGGTGACACACACCTTTAATACTAATACTGGGAAGCGCACAGGCCTTTGATCCCAGGAAGTGACATGGCTGGGCTGAGAAAGGTACATAAGGCATAAAGAAATCGGTGAGGACTCAGAGGCTTTCAGTCTGAGGAAACAGGATCGGCTGAGGAGTTGGCGAGGTGAGGTTAGCTGTGGCTTGCTCTGCTGCTCTGATCTTTCAGCGTCCACCCCAGTATCTGGCTCAGGGTTTTTTGTTAAAAGACCATGGAAGATTCGAACAACAGCTGTTGTGTAGTTGTGTACTCTGAAGCGGAGCATTAGAGGGGGAGCTGTGAGATACGGGGAGCTAATGATACCCCACGACCCTCTTCAAGGTAATGAGAGCAGTGAGGGGTTGCTGGGGCAACCTAGACGCTCTGCAGTGAAGCTGCCAGCAAGCTGTGCTGGAAGCTCCAGGGATGCAGGTTTTGTGAGTGGTCACCATGCTGGATTCGGGTTTTCAGGGATACCATTGAGTCACCGATGCCCCTGTGAGTGAGCCCCGACCCATGCTCCTATAATCAACCCCAGGCAGCTCATTGGCTCACCAAGCTAGACTTTGGTGGAACTGTTTCTTCAGTCTGGCATCACCGCCCTCTCTAGGGTGAGTAGACGTTTGTTCGTGTCTCCCCAAGAGAAGTCAGACAACTGCTTAGCCCTCAGTGACTACTAGCAGTTCTTTTCCTCTTGGTAGACACCAGCAGGCTGATACGGCCTGTGCTCCTCCATCATCTAGAAGGGGAAGGGGCCCGAAACACAAAGAAATCATCTCTGTGTTCCTGGCTAGAAACATTCTTCTCAAGACAACTCAGCTTCCTGACCTGCAGAACCTAGAACCTCAGAGACCCAAGCAGACTTGCAGAATTAGTCTTCAGGTGCAGCCACTTACGGTGCAACCACTTACGGTGCCATACCTTTCCACTAACTTTTTATATGTATTCTGACCTCAAAACACAAAGGATTACATACTGAAGCTAGGCACTTGTGGTTCCAGCCATTCAGAAGGCCGGGGAAGGAAGAACACTTGAGACCAAGATTGGGAGGCCAGCCTGGGCTACATGGTAACAGATTTAGATATCAAGGCCGGAGAGGTTCCCAGCACCCACATGACAGCTCACAACTGGCTGTAATTCCAGTTACAGGAGATCAGATGCTCTCTTCTGGCCTCCACATGTACGTGATGCAAGCAAACAGTCATACACATAAAATAAAAGTAAATGTATCTTTTAAAAAAGAATTATATATAGGAGCTGGGTGGCCCCTCAGGTCCCTGTCTCACAGAGGAGACTGCCAGACACTCTGCAGACACAGGGAGAAGTGACTGATGAACTTTGCCAATAGGCGAGACAATCCTTCAAATTTCTTGCTTCACTAAAAAGTCAGCCAGAGACGTTAGGTCTGTAGGCGGAAAATGGATGCCCCAACGTTGCAGAGGAACTTTGGGTGACTGTCCAGGCAGCCAGATGTCTCAGTCATTTCTAGAACTTTGGAAGTTGCTTACAATGCGCTTCCTGTTTATTTCGGTAATCTATATGGGGTCTTTGATGGAGTTGCAGACTAGATAGTTATAATTATAGTTTTTCTTAGTCATGATAAAAGATAAATTAAATATGAAACTTTAGCCTCACAAATATAGGAGAGATGATAAGAGTATTTTCTTTAATCTTGCCAAATACAAATAGACTAGATATTATAACTGTAATTCTTGCTTGATAATTGTGATAGTATATGTAATTTTACTATGTTGAAGTTAAAACCTTCTGTTACTTGGATTCTAAGGGCTCCCTCTGGGAAGGGGTGAGAAGGCGCAGCATCAACGACTCAGACACCAGGAATACGTTGAAAGCAAATAACGAACTCATTTATCCAATAACAAGGTAGGCCTTATATAACCTCCTCCCAGTGCCCAGTCTGTGTGGTCATCCCTCATTGGCTGGGCACGATCAGGAACTCTGACATCACATTGACTGTTGCTAGGTCCTCAGGCAGACTCGGCATGATCAGGAACTCTGACAGCTCCTATTGCTAGGCCCTAAGGCAGACTCCAGGTTGGCTCTTAAGGAGTACGTTATGTGCTTGCCTTGGCTACTGGTCTGAGCCAATTTCCTCGACCCTATGGGCCTGTCCCACTACAACCTTCCTTTTTAATTAGACAGTTAAAGGGGAAGTACTGTGGGAGTACTTTCTGTATGCTGTGAATATGTGTTTCTCTGATTGGTTGATAAATGAAGCTGCATTGGCCTATGGCAGGGAAGGATAAGGTTAGGTGGTATTCAAACCAAAGACGAGAGAAGGGTGGAGTCAGGGGAGATGCCAGCCTGCCACGGAAGGAGTCACATGCCGACAGACCGGTAATGCCATATCCACGTGGCAACACATAGATTAATAGAAATGAGTTGAGTTGAGTTATAAGAGCTAACAAGCAAGAAGCCTGACCCATAGGCCATACAGTTTGTAAGTGATAAAAGCCTCTGTGTGTTTACTTGGGACTAAGCGGCTGTAGGACGTAAGTGGCAGAGATTCGTCCAGACCGTGGGGCTGGGCAGGACCGGAGAAATTTCTGGCTACACTTAAGAGCATGTGTTGATCTTGCAAAAGATCTGAGTTCAGTATCCAGAACCCATATGGGGGCTCATGATCATCCATAACTCCAGTTCTAGGGGATTTGACAATCACTTCTGTCCTCCATGGCATCAGGCACATATGTGATGCACATGCATACACACAGGCAAACATTCATACACATACACTTTGCATCATAACACCCTAACCTAGCACAGCTCAGTCAATAATTCCATTGTTCTCTGTAGACCAAGCTGACCTTAAATTTGCAATCTGCTGCAGCCTCTGGAGTAGTTAGGATGACAGATCCCTGTCACCAGGCCTGGTTTCTATTGTCCTAAAAGCTAGTTGGACTGGGCTTGGTGCCACAAACCTTTAATCACAGCACTTGGGAGACAGAGGCAGATGGATCTCTGTGTTCAAGGCCAGCCTGGTCCACACAGCAAGTTTCAGGTCAGCCAAGGCTACATCATGAGACTGGTCTCCAAACAACAACAAAATCTGCCAACTGTTTCTGAATGACATAACATAGAAGTCAAGTGGATTTCAAGAGCACCAGATGTGGCCTCTCAGTCAAGGGTTATGTTGCAGGAGAGACTCCAGCATTGTATGAATAATGTAGACAGTGATTCTGGATGTTTCATACTTTTCAGAAAGGTGAGACTGTGGAGAACAAAAAGGCCCAGAAAGCCACGGCCATCGACGTCTGCATGGAGACAGAGAAGTGGCTGCAGAGGCACCTGTCACTCACCAGCAGCTTCTCCAGTCAGGACACTGAGAGATCCATCACCCCAAATGTAGGAGTGTCTATGACTGTGTCCACCCTGCTCGATATATATATGCCAGAGACACAGAAACTACAAGCTATCCAGGGCCTGGCTGCAGGCCGGGCCATGAAGATCTATCTGTAAGTGAACAGTAAGAATCTTGGCAAGCAGGGGACGGGGAGCTGGCTCAGAGGGTAAAGTGTTCACTGCTTGAGGACCTAAGTTCGGATCCCCAGCACCCATGTGGAAGCCAGAATATGGCAGTATGCCTCTGTAAACACTAGACTGGGGAGGTAGAGAGGAGATCCCTGGAGCTCACTGGCTGGTCAGTCTAGCTGAATCATCTAACTCCAGGTTCAGTGAGAGACTCTCAAAAAAAAAAAAAAAAGGGCTGGTGGTGGCACAAGCCTTTAATCCTAGTACTCAGGAAGCAGAGGCAGGTGGATCCCTGTCAGTTCAAGGCCAGTCTAGCCTACAAAGTTCCAGGATGGCCAGGGCTACACAGAGAAACCCTGTCTTGAAAAACCAAAATTTAAAAAAAAGGGTGAAGGGCGAAGGGGCCGGAGAGATGGTCCAGCAGTTAAGAGCACTTGTTGCTCTTACAGAGGACTATGGTTTAGTTCCCAGAACCCAAATGCTGGCTCATAACCATCTGTAACTCCAGTTCCAGGGGATCCAGTGCCTTTTAACTTCCCCAGGCAGCAGCCACATACATGGCACATATACATACATACAAGCAAAACACTCAGACACATAAAATAAATCTGGAAAAAAAAAACCACGGTAAGGTGAAGAGCAACATAGGAAGATACTCAAAGTCATTCTCTGGTCTTCACATGTGTCTACAGGGCCAAACACATCCACATGGGCACGCACACACATGCACACACGGGCATAAGATACACACACACACACACACACACACACACACACACACACACACACACAATGTTGGCAAATGGCAGAGTCAAGAGGGGTCAGCAGTGAGTGGCCAGGTTCAGGCCCCAGGGTCTGGGTTGTCAGACAAGGAGAAGAAAGGAGGAGAGGAAAGTCTTCAGGAAACAGGACATGGACAGGGCTCCTAATAGGTGGGTGATTTTTCAGTGTCAATACGCCCAGGAAGAGAGGGGTAGGTGGGACCTAGTCATCTCGGCTTCAGCAACCTTGCCCCTTCCCATCCATCTGTTCACATGCAGTGAACAGCCACAAAGTGCTCCGCTCAAATGCTCCACTAGGAATTCAGAACTCAGAACAGAACCAAGTAGTCTCATTGAGTGTCTCGGTAAGAATGGACTCCCTATCTCCATGGGCCCTGCAGCAGAGAAAGGAATGAGCACAGGAGAGGGTGGGAGGCTCCAGCTGAGGCAGGGTTTGACCAAATAGAAGTCACCAACACAGGGCAGGCCTTGGAGACTGCATGTTCACAGTGTACTGAGAAAATGGAGTACACCAGGGTGGCTGGAGCTTGGAGGCAAAACGGAGGTAGGCCATTCGGCTGAAAACTCAACCTGGTTGTACAAGGTCTTGCCCATCATTCCAGGAGGGAGCTCAGGCTTCATCCGGGGACAGCAGGTTGGTAACTGGGGAAGTCCCCAGTGACTCCACTTCAGAACATTCTAGTCCTGGAGGACATACTACTTTGTTCTCTTTTTTTTTTTCCTGTTATCACCTGTCAACTTTGGGAACTTTGACAAATCAGATCATTTCCACCTTTTTGAACTAACTAAGTCTAATGTACCTTTAGAATAGTTGGGGTTATCTGTGACCCTCCTTATGTGAGCTTCAAAACACAGGCCCAGCCCAGGCGGACCTTTGGCTTAACCCGAGAGCCCTAAAGGCAGATCAGAAGATTACTCCCCAGAACTGGCTCTTCTTGGGGAAGGAAGGCCCAGGAGCCTGTCACCTAGTTTTGTTACCTCATCCCCACCACCTCTTAAAGGTAAAGGGACACTTTAGACTATCACGGAAGCTCAGTGTGACCAAGGGTAGGGTGGGCAATGACGTGAGGTACTTCCAACCAGAAGTTTTAAAGTTTTGTTTTGATTTTGCTTTAAGGGAGAAAAAAAACAAGTTTTTCAGTGGTGGGAACTAAACTCAGATCTAGAGAGATAGCTCAGACGTTAAAGGCTAGGGTCACAACCAAAAATCAACTCACTCTACCAGTGAGTTCTGACCTCAGCCTGCTGCTGCAGGCTCCCTGACTACTGAGATTATATTCATGAGGCACTAGAATGCCTGGAGACCACTTTTAATTTTCTTTGAACAAACATTTTCTTTCTGTCTTTTCATTTTTTTAAATAGGGTCTCACTACATAGCCCCGGTTGTCCCGGAACTCACTCCGTAGACCAGACTGGCCTCGCGTTCACAGAGGTTGCCTGCTGGATTAAAGGCAAATGCCACCACACAGGGCCCGCTTGAATACAATCTTTGAGACATGACCAGTTTGAGATCTTCTTCTCTCTTGACGTCTCCACCCTGAACAGTTCCTGAGAAGTGCTGGTGACTTTCATGTTGTATTTTGTGGGTGGGTTTGTTTTCACTTGTGCTGAGGATTGAAGGGGGGATATCTTACATGCTAAACCTCTGAGCTACACTTCCATACTCAGGGAAGGTGTTTTCATTCATTCATTCATTCATTCATTCATTCATTCTTGTGGGGAGGGGAATGCAGGCACACACGTGTGTGAAAGTCAGAGGACAACTTGCAGGAGACTGTTCACTCCTTCCACCACCTCAAACTTAGGCCCTCAGTCTCCCAGGCAGGCATTTTGTTTGTTTGTTTTATCTATTTATTTACTTTTGTTTTCCGAGACAGGGTTTCTCTGTGTAGCCCCGACTGGCCTGGAACTCTCTCTGAAGACCAGGCTGGCCTCAAATTCAGAAATTTGCCTTCCTCTGCTGGGATTAAAGGTGCAAGCTACCACGGCTTCCCCCAGCAAGGTTTTAAAGTCCAGTGGGACACAGTTTCAAACCCACTGCACCAGAGGAACCCAGAAAATGGATGTCCTTCCTCTCCCTACCCCCGTACCTCAAAAGAACAAGAACAAGGTTGCTGAAACCATGTAGCCTCTCTCTGTAATACGCTCACGCAGTAAATCACTTCTCCCAACACCTTCCAAGAGACCAGGGAAGCCAAGTACACAGTCTGAGGTTGTGGGACATCCCAGAGCCCACAGTGAAGATGATAAAAGTGGAACCGAAGGAGGGACGAGGGAAGGGACTGCCTGCTCATTCTTCCTACGTGTACCCTTCATAGCAGCTGCCTCTGTGAGCTCCATAATCCCCTTGCCCTCACCTCCACCCCATCCTCTGGCCGCCCACCTCTCCTCCACCCACCCCATTCATCAGTAGGAGGGTACCATATTAGTGCAGCATTTCAGGACCTGACAGATCCTTTCTGGGTGCCCCCCACATGTAACCACTTAACCCCTAGCACAAAAGGCCACGCTGAATGGGCTTGGAGTCAGTGGCTCGTGCGGAGGGGTAGGTCTCAATAGGATTTGGGGAGCTGGGTGTATAAAGCGCTCTGCTCCAGCAGCCCTCAATGGAGGAGCTGGAGTCGGGCATGTGCCGAGGGGAGGAGCCCGGCAGCTGCATCCCGCCCCCGAACAATGATTTATTCATTCTCTTGGCACGCTCAGAGAAAACAGACTCCAGGGACTGTGGCCCCACAAATCGCCCTGGGCCTTAGATAATTCCCACCACCATCACTGAAGTTCAGAGGCCCCCTCACCCTCTTGATTTATTGCCTAAAGCTTGAGGTTCCTCTTCCCTGTGAGGGAGGCTTTTAGAAGCCTGGGGTGGGGGTTGGTGGGTGGATCAGGCAGGCAGGGTCCTTCGAAGGTGCTGTATCCAGTCTCAATTTCTTCATGGTCCTTCTCTTGCCCACCTCACAGCCTGCAGAGACCCATGTAAACGCCCCCCAACAAAGTACAGAAATAAAATAGAAAGGCACATTCGGTGCCTTGTTTTAGAATCGCCAGCACAGGGTAGGGCAGAGGAAGAAGCAGGACTGTTGAGTGGCTTAGCCTAGAAATCACTAACAGGTAGTAGGAAAGTCCCAAAAGGATGCTGGATGACGTGCAGGCTGCTAGCCAAAGGTGTTGTTCTTGCTGTCCCCACTCTTCTGTCCTTAGTAAAAATAGGCAAGCTCTAGGTGGGCATGGTAGTGTTTGGGAAACTGAGGCAGGAGGATCATAAGTTTGAGGACAGCCTGGGCTCTAGAGAAAGAACCTATCTACCTATGAAACAAGCAAAAAAAGGCCAGGCAAGCAGTTTGTTTTCTTAAAAGAAAAACATTATGTGTGTATTTTGCCTGCATGCATGCTCTGTCCTACATGCACACCCGATGTCCAGCTACATGATTGAAACCCTATCTCAAAAAAACCAAGTGTCCTTGGGGTGGAGCTCAGAAGAGTCAGATCCCCTGGAACTGGAGTTATGGATGGTTGTGAACTGCCATTTGAGTGCTGAGAATCGAACCTGGGTCCTCTGCAAGAGCACCTCGTGCGCTTAACCACCGAGCCACCTCTCCAGCCCCAAGGCTAGTAGTTTCAAGAACAAAACTGTGACAAGCAAACTTGCCCTCTCACCTTCATAGCTCATGTCACCGGAGCCAGACTTTTAAAAATCATAATAAATAAAACTACAAAAAAAAAATCAATAATGCTAGCAGAACCGGAGTGTCAGATTGAAGTGGGCATCCTCAGACTGGCCCCTGGGCCTCCTAGCTCCAAGCCTGTAATTACCTTGTCACACAGAAAACAAATCTATCGTGGGGCCTTACCAGGGAGAGGTGGGAGATCCCAGGCAAGGAGGCTGCCGGGTTGGGAAGGGGAGGGAACAGCAGGAAGACGGATTGATCTTCAGTGCTGGGGGTAAGAAGGCCCGAAACTGACAAACTAGAGCCTAGAGAGCTCAGAAAGTTTTCTTCCTTCAGAAGAAGCGCAGACACTCCAGAGGCGCTGTGGTGAGTAGGGAGTCTAGAAAGAAAGGGCTCAAGTCCCCTCCTGGATGCCCCAAGAGGGACGATCGCCAAGAGGCTGCTGCCCTCTGGTGGTCATAAAGAGACCCATCAAGGCTTCCAACGCTGAAATTCCGTTGTGAAAGGAGCCCATCTTTTCCCGTGGTAAAGCACTGAGACTAGCATCCTCACAGGCTGGATTCCTCAGGAAGCTGATTCTGAGCTTAGCATTCACTCAGACTGTTTATTAAGAAGTTCCTTTTTGCAGCCGGGCGGTGGTGGCGCACGCCTTTAATCCCAGCACTCGGGAGGCAGAGCCAGGCGGATCTCTGTGAGTTCGAGGCCAGCCTGGGCTATCAAGTGAGTCCCAGGAAAGGCGCAAAGCTACACAGAGAAACCCTGTCTCAAAAAACAACAACAACAACAACAAAAAAGAAGTTCCTTTTTGCATGGCATGTGGTACCAACCTTTAATCCCAGAACTCAGGAGGTAGAGGCAGGGGGATCTATAAGAATATGTGGTCTACATAGTGAAGATCTGTCTCAAAAAAAAAAAAGAAAAGCGCCCTTTGGCTGGGGCGGGTGTGTGTGTGCCACAGTACTGCATAAACCAGGTATAGTGGTTCATGGTACACACCTGTAATCCCAGCACTCAGAAGGCAGAGGTAGGCGGATGAAAAGTTCGGGGTCACTTTTAGCTATATGGTGAGTTCAAAGCCAGCCTGGGCAACCCAGTATTAAGCAAGAAAGCAAGCAAGCAAGCAAACAAAAACCCCAGTGCCTTTGGGCTCGATATCTGTGAAACAGGAAGCAGGCAAAGGAGCTGAGCTCCAGGCTCAGTGGGACAGTTGCATCGGTCTCTGTTCCCAGCCTGTTATACACTGAGCCTTGGGGATGGTCAGGTGAGCCTGAATACTTAGCTTTTGGATTCATTCATCCAGCCTTCACTGAGATTCCCTGGGCCAGGCCTGGAAGCAGACAGTTTCCATTTTGTGTATTTAATCCTTACAACTGTGGAGTGAGTATTGTCAGATTACTCAGATGGGATCAAGTTATTAAGTGGCTTTCACAGTCCAATGACACTTTTAAAAGTGGCACTCACAATGGGACAAGTGTCATTCCTGCTGTCAGAGGTTCTTCAGGCCACAAAGGGACTTGGCTCTGTTCCACCTGTGTGTGCCGTATGAATGGGACGGCTTGAGGTCTGCAGTCAGAGCACATCCTCAGCTGTAGCCAAGAGTTCTGCCCCGAAGCCCCTGCTTCAGCCCCTTCCTAAGAGGACTGCTTCCCAGAGGGAGGAGAGCCACAGGCTGGAAAGTCCTGGCACAAGCCACTACAGCCAAAAGGACGCAGGAGATGGTTGCTCCAGAAACCCGCAGCACCCCGGAGAGGACAAAGCCTGGGGAAAGCCAGCCATCAGGCGCTGCCCTGCTACAGCCCTGACCCTGATGGTGGTGTGTACTTGCAATCCCAGCGCTTGGGAAGCAGAGGCAGGTTTGGGAGTGTGAGGCTAGGCTGGGGGGCTACACAGTGAGGCCATCTCAAAAAATAAAGCCAAACCTTTCAGCATGTCCAGGCACCAACATGAAGCTGTTGTTGTTGCTGTTTTTAAGTTTCTTTATTTTAGTTTAATTTAAGAGAGGAGGGGTACTTGAATGTCATAAATTTTTTTTCTGAGAATGACTGGAGACATTTACTCAATACTCTAGGTCTCCTCCCCACTACACACACACACACACACACACACACACACACACACTGCCTTCCCTACTGGGCTCACAAAACCTAATTTTTCACATTTAGAAAACCCAGATGATTTTTGCCTGGGTCCATCTGGTTTTCCAAATAACCTGTCTTTTTGATAAATAACGTAAGTTAAATTAGACAAGACAAAGAGAGGGGTGAGCAATCAGCTTTTTTTCCCTTCTCTCAGCCTCTGAGAAAAAGAGGGGGCTGAAAAGCTCAAAGCACAGTCCACTCTCAACTGGGCCCCAGCACTTTGAACCCCTTGCACTGGGCCCAGGGCTTCTCCAGCCTGGAGCCGGGAGCTGCTCTGCCACCCCACCCCCACTGCTGGCCCACTAGCCCACCAGCCATAAAAACCACCACATGCCGTGTTTCATCTGAACGTTAGCAAAGAAGCCAGTGTTCAACCTCAAAGCTTCCTCCAATCCCCCTTAGGCTGTAGCTACTTCCGACTCGCTCTTCTCATTATGTACCCACCACAGGGAAGAACGGAATCAATACACTGAAAATGAAAAACCTTTAAGGTGAGAGAAGATGGGACAGGAAGAGGGGACGGGAAGGGCATGGAGAAAACTAAGACACTACAAGCAAGGGACCGAGAGATCTGGTGCCTTGTTCTCAAAAGGTGACAACCCGAGGTTGACACCAGCTGCGCACAAAGCCAGGCCTAGTTCCCTAGTTCCCTCTGAGAGTGTTGGCAATACCCATAGGCCTCTCCTCCTACAACTGT